TTACTTATTATTAATCATTAAATTAATCAGAGTTATAGCCTGATTATTTAAAACAATCATTTGGTTATGTTTCTATATACATATCAGGCTTCATAATGTTTGATATGCTTGTATAATTGTAGTTTTTGATATAATGCTGACAGATTCACAGTTTTAGATTAAAAATTCATATGTTTTTATATGACATAACTTTCCTTTTTTTTAATGTGCCCTCTAAAGAGGGATGTATACCTCACTTAAATCAGCCTACTGGCATGCCAGTTTTTAACCATATGGAAATATTTGATTTTGTGGTCTCCTCCAGATAGACTGACATTTTAGACAGTTCTCAAAAATATGGCACATAATTGAACACACCACAAATAAAGTGAAAAAAGCACTGAAAACACACAAGCATAATAGAAGAGATGCTTTCACAGTGAGAGTGAGAGAGAACTTGGCACACAACAGATTGAGTTTATGCAGCAAGTGCATTCATTTTTTCAGATGTAGAATGCTTCTACATCTGAAAAAATGAATGCACTTGTTGCATAAACTCAATTGTTAAATTAATTAAAAAATTAAAAATGTTTGATGTTCCAGCAAACANAAAATATATTTTGTTCGTTTCATTGGAAGTTCTTTAATTTCACCCTTTGGAAGAGAGAGGGAAAAACATCACAGAATCATGCAATAGAAAAAAATAGTCTTAGTTTCTAAAAATTTATGTATTTAATATAAAAATTTACTTATAAAAATAAATAATACAACCAGATATAAAACAAGAATTTATCTAATAATATTGAATAATCGCTTGATTAATTTAAAAGTTTCTTATAATAAATAAATAAAACATTTTTTATAAAGTGGTTTTCATATTTAACAGTCTATTTGAAAAATCCATGTTAACTATTATATCTTAGTATTGGCTTTTGCCAACAGCCATACTGAACTGACTAGCATATTGTCTTAATATTAACTGTATCTTGCATCTAGATGACTGAGACGGTTAAGGCGTCAGTCTACTGCTCTGGGGACCCAGGATAACATTTGGGCAGGTCAAAAAACTCAGGAATTTTTTCTGGGGAGTAATCTGTCTCAAATATGTCAGGCTCTGTCTCTCACCACCTGACTACCTCATTGTGGAGGGTGAGAGACAAGGTGAGGTTTTGTTTTGAGAGAGAGAAATTCAATTTATATATTAAAGTTCAGATTCAGCATACAATTCTGGATTAAAATTACAGTCTAAATTAATATGAAAAATGATGATGCAGATAAAAAATGAAAACAAGAATGAGAAAGTGACAGATAGAAAGGAAATATAGAAAAAAAAGTGTTTTTATTCTCAGCTTGCCTGAGGATTAATCCTAAAACTAGATCCTATCTATTGTAACTTGGATCTTAAGTTTAAAAAATAAGATATAGTTTTTATTTTACTCTTTCTGTTCTGTAAGCAATAAGAGGGTCTTTTTTTATGCTTATTGGATTTGGCCAAAGTTATTGGATGAGTGATATATGGTATATTTTGTAAAATATTTTAAAATTTTAGTTTTTGAATTTATAATATACTACTTATTATTCAGATATTTCAATAAATATAAAAGTAATATATCATAAAAGTTTTTATATATTTTATAATAGAAACTAATCATTTGATGGTAATTTTAGAATGGATATTTCACTACAAACTTTTCCAATCATTAATTCATTTTACTATTAATTTCTGCTATAAGCTTTACTTTAATTTCAATTACTGCTTACGTATTGCTTTTGTCATTTTGATTAAAATTATTTATAAAAAGTAAAATCAATCAAATTGGCCATTTTATTTTGAATTTGTTATTCAACTTTAAAAAAAAAAATCTGTCTGCATTTAAAAAATCTTTCATATACAGGCATACCTCGACTTACGTCGGTTTTGAGTTACGTCGTTCCCGATTATACGTCGCTTGTTAAAAAAGTATATGGAAAAATAAAAATCAAGTTTAAGTCATTTTATTCGACTTTACGTCTGTCCGCCACAAATATTGAAGTCGTAATATCACTAGATAAACGTTTAAAGCACATAAAATCATATTAAAATATATACAAGTATGTACTGTATTTACAGTACACGCATTCGTAAATTTAGATTACTTTTTTTGTACTATATTAAAAACTAAAATTTATTTGTTTGTAAGCTTAAAATAGATTTTTATTAACCATATATTATTTAAAATGCTTTCCTAGTGATAAGTAGATTCGGAGAC